TACATACCCGAAATTACTTGTCCCAGATTTGTTCTTACGGACGAAAATTTAAAAAATACGGAAATCCGTAACATTACGGACTCTGAGCACCCATGTATTATGCAGGGGTGGAGGAATAACGCGTAAATCTCTCAGTTCGCAAATTGCAGGTTTTTTGTTTGCTTGCGGGTCGGCGGGTTTTGCTATTCAAATGTGGGTCGGACCCACCAGATGCGGGTCACTCTGGGAGCTAAGCATCAGACCATAGCTAGATCATTAGCTGGGCTCTCGAGCAAGCTATCTGGCTAGCTAACAAATTACCATATAACAATTGTACCATTGGCTAATGATTCAATGAACTCTCATGTAATTAAGTTACTTCTAAATTGAGCCCCTAAGAACCATACCGGGCCATCCCGCACTTTTGGCGGAATTGAGTTGAGGTAGTCAGCATGTGCAGAAAACTGAGATCTACATTTCCTAAACGAGCCAACCCAATCTGCCCACATGGATTGTTCATGTAAGCAAACGTCCTCTCTGCCACTGTAAATATGCAATGCACTGCCTTAGTCATAGTGGACCATCCCACAACTTTTCCATAATTCAATGCTAGGTATCGCACTGATGAGGAATTGCTTGCTATGATTGATGATGATGGTGAAGTGGAAGATAATGGAGACCAGAGTTTGACCCAAATCAATCAGAAGATGATGGGTCCTCTTCAGAAGGAGGTACCTTTCTTTAAATGAAACAGAAGGGCATCCAAAACCTGCTCTCATAACTGTACATATCTTGAGTTTTGAACAGAAGCAGTGTTTCTAGTTCCTAAGATACTGCGCAGGAAGAAGGCAACTTTGAGTTTATCAGTATGGCTCTTGTTTGAAAAGGTTTATCAATTGTTTGATATTCTTAAACTTCATAATAAATGTTCATAACATGAATAACAGTTCAGACAGGACACTCATGTCAGATTTAACCATTTATTTGGAATGACATACATTTGAATTTGGCGGTGACTCTGCTCAAGTGATACTCTGGAACAATCTGAGCAAGCATGACACAGACATTCCGGGAGATCACAACCCCCGGGCAGAGCCTGGTTCACCGTGTTTAAAATGAAATGAATGTCAATACAGTTTACAAACAATGCCGATACTATACAAAACAATGCCAATACCATATAAAGACAAGAGTATATGACACAAGAAGTACTGCCAAAGACCATGCCGTTGGAAAGGAGGAGGCTGGGTGGAGGGATGTTTCGGGACAAGATTTATAATGGGTCTTGGTGGGAATGGTATGGCTTGGTTAGTTGAGATGGAGAGCGCCGCCTTATTTAAAAAGACAGGCAAATTAGGTACGTGACGCTAAAGTCCAATGCGATTGGACAAGGGGTGGAGCAAAGACTGCCTTCCGTGCCTGTCTGAACTAACACTGACGCTCCATTTCAGACAGGACACTCACGTCAGATTTAACCATTTATTTGGAATGACATACATTTGAATTTGGTGGTGACTCTGCTCAAGTGATACTCTGGAACAATCTGAGCAAGCATGACACAGACATTCCGGGAGATCACAACCCCCCCAAACTTGCGCTCCTGCAGGGAGCAGATGAGCAGAGTCACCCGCGGGGATGTGAACATGAAATGCGTTTCGATCCATTGAATTCTGAATACGAATAACAAACAAGCTCATTCTACGATCAAGGAATAGAAAATATGACATCGACAGGAGCATTAAAAGACAAAATCGATATGTGGAAAGTGTGTTATGTGGGGATAAACAATGTGAATGCGATAAACATGTCGCATTTCCTTTGAATTTATGCAAGCATGCATGACCTTCTCTTCTGGATGCAGGAGATCAGCGGCCTGCTGAATGCAAGCAGAAGAACATTCGGCAAGACACTATGAGTGACTTGATACAAAGGAAATATGCTATGTGAGAATGAGGATATGTGTAGCAACAAGCATGTCGCATTTCCTTTGAATTCATGCAAGCGTGCAAGACCTTCTCTTCTGGATGCAGGAGATCAGCGGCCTGCTGAATGCAAGCAGAAGAACATTCGGTAAGACACTATGAGTGACTTAATACAAAGGAAATATGCTATGTGAGAATGAGGATATGTGTAGCAACAAGCATGTCGCATTTCCTTTGAATTCATGCAAGCGTGCAAGACCTTCTCCTTTGGATGCTGGACATCAGTGGCCTGCTGGTGAGAGCAGACGAACATTCGGCAAGTCCCTCATGAGAGACTTGATGCAAAGTAAATATGCCATGTGAGATGAGTCTAGATGTGGTAAATACATCAACATTTTAAATATTAGATGGACAGAAGGCAGATGCAGGTAGTGAATCGATGCGAATGAAATGGCAGTTTCCCCAAGTTGAACGGATTGGACGATACCCATGAACTTTGCATGCTTTGATTATACTAAGGGCCATTACAGTTGACTGACATTAAATTCGAGGTGGCAAAGCATGGTGAGTATAGAATTAACATTGCAAGAACAACAATTTACCGATTACATAAATTACTCATCGCTACTTCTGCGGACAAAATTCACTAGTATTAAGACGGACGTATTTCTGGTATACTCCTGAGGACCAGCGACCCAGGCTTGGAGAACAGATGCTGGAACTACGGAGGCAGCCGTAGTTGCAGTGCCGATGCGAAAGGAATGTGTGGTGCATAGGATTGGAGGCAGACCACAGCACTGCACAGGATGTGGAGACGAACAGCAAACCAAGCTCGGGACATTGCTTTCCCAGAATGGGTCATGAACAGGGGCTCATCTCCTCTTGCATTGGCTCGCCATTTCAGGGACTGAGAATAGAAGAAAAAGGACAAAATGCAGTGTAAGTTCTGGCAATGACTACAGAAGTGCCTTTACCACATTTATCAGTTTTGGAATGTTTGAGGTTGCTAGTGAACATACAGTTATCGAAGGAGAAATCAGAAATGGTGAAGTCATGTAAAGGATTAAATTTCTCTGAAGGTGTAGTGAATTCCCCACATCTAAGAACCTCGAAGAAAGCTGTAAGACAGACTACTTCCAACAATACATCTACATAAGGACTAAAACACCCAACTCTTAAGTGCGATGCCAACATTTGCACTAAGTAAAGTGTGAGGGAAAGACGCTTATCATTGCCTTCTCGATGAGCCTTATTTAATCCATTAAAGAGGAGGCGAATGGAGGGATTTCCAAGCAAGCTAGTAACTGAAGGATCTGAACATCTTCAGTGAAACTGGACCCCAGAAATTCATGCTTTAGTAGAACAGGGATGAATTTTCTGAAACTCTGAACAATGCACTATAAAGGCACAGATCATGGAAATGTTAACAGATTAAAAACCTGCACAAAAAGAGAAGTACGACCAGCAGCATCATAAGCTTTTAATGCGTTTTTGACAATCCAAATCTCATGAAACCAACAAAACCCCCAAAACCAATGGAAGGGAGCCGCGTCAGTGAAGATCCCAAAGGCGACCAATGACTCCGGCATATCGTTATAAGAGAACGATATGCCATTCCAGTGCTTGCGCAACCGTGACCAAAAGCGCAAATCAGATTTTGAACCTTCATCCAATTTGACAGTTTTATGCAAATTGATTACAGATTAAGAGAGGTCGAGAAGCCGGGACACGAAGGAAGTTGAGGTGCTCCAACAGGGACAACAATTTGCGCTTTGTCTTAGACGAAGCCGACATTGCACTCTCCATAACCTCCCTGATTCTGCGCAATTTATCCTGGGATAGAGACGCTTGCATTTTAACTGAGCCAAGAGAAATACCCAAAACTCCAATTCCTGCGCAGTACCCCAGTTTCTTGAAAACGTCTTTAAGTGTAAAGATGCTGCGACTTGGTTCGGAATTGGGAAAGTCCATTATCAAAAAAGTCGTCTAAATAATGTAAAACGAACGGAAGTTTTCAAACATTCAGAAGTATCCAGCAAAGAGCCTTGGATAGAGTATTGAAAATGTGGTGGGTGCTACAGCATTCAAAGGTCAGACGTACTGCGAAATACATTTTTTCTTTCCAATTAACTCCAATGAGATTCCACTGAGAGGGGTGCAGAGGCATAATTTTAAAAGCATCGGTAATGTCAGCTTTACCCAACCAAGCACCTGATCCAGCAAATTTAATGAGTTTAATGCGTGATTGACGGCGGCAGTGGACACCGACAAACCTTGGGGAGGGATGGAGCTGGAGAACTTGGCGTTTCCTGGTGTGGATTATTTGATGGATCGCAGGACTGCACCGAATTAGCCAAAAGAAACTCGAAAAAGTTCTTTGTGGCTTGCCCGATCGGAGGCTGGATCTGACGATGAAACAGGTTTCCGATATTCTCGGGACCGGCCGGGAGCAAATAGAAGGAGTTTTACCCACAAGAGGAGCGCTCCTTCGAACACTGGCGATGGATGACACGTCGTCATCAACTTTGGCGGCAGGTTGACTTGCTGGAATGTCCAGGACGCATTCCTCCTCCGAGAAAGGATCAGGATGCCTGGACATAATGATGATGCACGAGGTAAGAAAAATACCCAAGTACTGATTCTCATACCTTAGAGAACTGCCGGCATGAATGTTTGCGCAGATCTGTAATGGGTCTTGGTGGGAATGGTAGAGCTTGGTTAGTTGAGATGGAGAGCGCCGCCTTGTTTAAAAAGACGTGCAAATTAGGTACGTGACGCTGATGTCCAATCCGATTGAACAAGGGGTGGAGCAAAGACTGACTTCCGTGCCTGTCTGAACTAACAATGACGCTCCATTTGTAAACTTTTGTTAAATCAATTGAACTGTTTATGAATATGGCATATATCAATGAGAATTACTGAGGCACCTCGGTTAATAAATTTTAAAAAAAATCAAAGATTTTTTAAGGATAATCACTGTAAATGAAAACAACAGTATTTGCACTCAAATTATTGCAAAAGTTTTTCAGTGTGAAATTTTTTTTTTTTACTTAGGAAAGGATCAAACTTGAGCAAACTAGACCTGCCCAGTTTCAGGGTGGCACGGTGGCGTAGTGGTTAGCGCCAGTGTCTCAAAACAAGAGGGTCGTGGGTTCGATTCCAGCCTGGGGCCTTTCTGTGTAGAGTTTGCATGTTCTCCCCATGTTTGTGTGGGTTTTCTCCCACAGTCCAAAGACATGCATGTCAGGTTAATTGGAGATACTAAATTGCCCATAGGTATGAGTGTGAGAGCGAATAGTCAGAATATTTGAACAGTATCTTGTAATGAACTGTGGAAGGCAGCATTACACCGTATGGTGAACAGCCTGCTGGAATCTCAGATGAAGAAGAAAGTATGCTGAGTGTTTTAATTTGGGAAATAAATTTAACAATGAATATTTGAGAGTATTTTGTGGATCTTTTGTTGAAACCATTTGCATACACATGTACAATTGCATTCAACTGTGGGGACTTCCGCTGTCTTACCATGGCACCCTGCCAAGACCCCTTAACCCCCCCTTGACACTCCATGTAAAATTTTCTAAATGCTTGAGCAAGTGCTTGTGCATGAGCCTGTTTTTCAGTGTGTGTAATAAATGTGTCTGTGTGTGATTGAGTGTGTGTTTGCTCTTACAAGTTCGTGCTTTAGGAGGGATAGTGAGGAACCAACTGGCATTGCTGGCAAAATTTTGAACATCTCTGGAGTAGATGCATTGGTTGATTATGGGGAAGAGATTTTCCAGGGAGATGGCAATGACAGAGTAAACAAAAACATGAATATAACTGACTTTTTTTTTTTTTGACCAAACACACTTTCAAAAACCGATCAGTAGGACTGAGCAGGTGGTATTTTTTAATACACTAATCTTTCATCTTTCATGAGGCACTAAATTCCCACTGACTGGGGCATCTGGGCCCTACTACAAGCAAATTTTATGGTTATTAAATTTAAAGTTCTGGATTACTTTTCAGGAAAAACCAGACGGGAAAATGACATGAATAGCAAATACAAACTACTCATTAAGTAATTTATGGGAAGCTCTGCAGTTTAACCTATATCATTAATTACAGAATAATATCCTTGGCCAAAACAGATACTCAGATTCACAGAGGCCCTTACTGCTTGGTTACTTTCTTCAATAAATCTTTGATCTGTGATTTGAATGCATGTAATGTTGTAGTGCAAGCTGTGAATAGCATATTTAGAGAGTCTGTGACTTCCCCAAGTCATGTGACCACACCACCAGCTGAGTCCTTGCATGGAAACTTGGGTGCTCTGGCTGACTTTCTGCCATGATTACTTCATTCCCTCCTGCCATCACAGTGACTTGGTCAGTACAATACTGTGATATCTCATGGAGGACTTTCCTGAAAGCTATATCCATGAGGTCAATCGGGTCCAACATTTGAGCTTCTCTGTCAATATAGTCCTTTGCTCACCCTAAAAACTGTGTTGGACAAAAGCAGCTGAAACCAATGGAAAAGAATCTTTGCAGTTGCAGTACAATACGCGTGGTGTATATATAGCACTCAGTGAACTTTCAGAGTTCCAACAGTACTGAAAATGTATGGAGCTGTCCTCCCAACAATCCACTGCTCTGGGTATCATGTGCATGCGTTTGTCCACGTGCATTTGTGTATGGGGGCACTCCAATTGTGAACCATCTGTAAAATTCTTTTCAACATTCCACAGTTCAACTAGTGGAAAACTTTTTAGTGTGTGTGTTTATATTCATGTGCATGTGTGTGTGTGTGTGTGTGTACACATCTGCATATGAAGAGCTGGAATGCAAAACCCACAAAGTCCACTCAACCTCTTGTTTTAAATTGAGTTTTGTTTACTCAGCATATTATGTTTTATATTTTATATAATATTTTTTATATTTTGTTTTAAATTGAGTTTTTTTTTTACTCAGCATATTAAAAAGACTCAAATTAAAACAAAAGAAGTTGAGTGGACTTTGTGGGTTTTGCATTCCAACTCTTCATATATTTGTTTAAGGGGGCCACCCAATTCATTGTTGAGAAATATTATAGTAAATGTTTCTTCATAACTTAATCTCCAGAAGTTTCCAGAGGACCGAAATGTATCATGTGTATTATGTTGTATGAAAGTTAATATGACTGTCATGGATATCGGCGATCAGTGATTCAATTGCAACTTCACATTCAATCACTTTTTAGTATGCATTCTGTATGCGGTCGTCCCCTCCCCAGCTGCTGTGCTCAGGACACTACAGGAGAGCCTCTGTAAAGTGCAGCTGGCCTTCTCCAATTTACACTTCCTGCTAAACACCACTAAGACTAAGGTCATGTGGTTTGGTGGGAAGGGTACTGTGCCCACTCCAGTCCAACAAATTACCACCCTTGATGGAGCTGTCCTGGAACAGGTCAAAATGTGACACATGACCAAGTATCAAATGGGGATATGGCTAGACAGCAAAACGCTCATTCACATACCATATCACTAAGTTAGAGGCCAAGATAAAATCTAAAATTGTTGGGCTGCCGGGTTAATGCTCACTTGATAGACTTGGGTTACTCTTATACAAGGCCATGAACCTCCAATGCTTTTGTAATTGATTTTTCTACCATGCATTTTTGGTAGTGACTGAGAATGGCCCTCCTGGAACAGGTCAGTGAGGGTTCTGGGGATCAGACCAGTCATTCATACCATACCACCAACCAGCAATGGTTGGCCTAAACATTAACAGCTTCTTTCTTTTTTTCAGAACAGCGCGTACCAACCAGCAAAGCTTTTTTGGAACAACACAAAGCTAAAGAGCTGTGGGAATGCAAATTGGGAAGGGACTGCTGGGAAGGGAAATTGAAAATAATTGCCTTGTTCGCTGCTCAAGTGCCTCCTGTTGGCCAGCCAGGCGCTTGTCAGTGAGATTCTGAGCTTGCTCATGTTCGGGTATCCTCCGCCCTCGTTCTGAACTTGCGATAGTTTCGACCAATGAGTGTAAAGATGCAGGGGCTGACAGGCGTGTGCTTTGGAGGAAAGCCGCGAACTGTCTCTCTCTCCTGAGCTGGCAATAGGGGGTTGTATATGAGCAAGCCTTGTACATAGTTCTTGGATTGGGCATTCCAAATTCAGGTGGGATTGGATTAAAAAAAAAAAAAAATCTAAAATTGGTTTTCTGTATAGAATGCGCTCCACTTTCACCTCCTCAGCTAGAAAAACTCTTGAGCAAATGACCATACTTCCCATGTTTGATTACGATGACGTAGTTTATAGGTCAACATGCAAAGGTGCACTTAACAAACTCACTGTTTTATATCACTCGGCCATCCGGTTTGCTGCAAATGCTCCGTTCAGAACTCACCGCTGCACACTCTACTCCTCCATAAACTGGCCATCTTTACACATCCGTCGTACTATTCACTGGTTCACACTCATTTACAAGACCCTTCTTGGCTTGTCCCCACCTTATCTTGTCATCTGTTACACACCTCCACTCCTGCGCACAGTACTCACTCTGCTCGCCGCATTTTATTGAAGGTGCCCAAAACTAATACTGCACTGGGTTCTTTGTCTTTTCAGGCTGCGGCCAGGGACTGAAATGATTTGCAGAAGGGACTCAAATTGGAAACATGTATTCCCCTGTCTGCCTTTAAAGACTGGATTATGGACACTCTGAAGGAGACATGCTGTTGTCCCTCAGAAGCTTAATCTTGGTTAGATGGAGCATCTGCTCTGTTTTGTTCCTTTTGATTATTGTATTGTTATTAGTATTTATTATAATTGTTTATTCTTCGTTCTGTCTAATATTACACTGTTTTTCTTTTCAGCCCCTTCCTTTCCCCCTCAAGAGTAAAAGTATTTGCTGCTGATTCCTAAAGCTTAATCTCTTGGCGGGGATGTGTAGTTTACGAGAATAGTTTAGATTAGAAGTTTGTACTTTAGGGTTTTTTTTTTTTTTTTTTTGGTGGGGGCGTCAACATTGGGGGTGTCTCGTCCCCCACGAATGAATACGCGTAATAAATATACAACCCCAATTCTGAAATAGTTGGGACAAAGTGTAAATTGTGGATAAAATCAAAACGCAATGACTTTGAAATCACACCAGCCAGTATTTTATTCACAATAGAACAGAGATAACATAGCAAATGTTGAAACTGAGAAATTTTTACTTTTTATCCACAAAATGAGCTCATTACAAATTTGATGGCTGCTACAGGTCTCAAAAAAGTTGGGACAGGGGCCTGTTTACCATGGTGTAGCATCCCCTCTTCTTTTTAACACAAAATGGAGGCATCTGGCCATTGAGGAGACAAGTTTCTTGAGTTTAGCCATTGGAATTTGATCCCACTCTTGTTTAATACAGGTTTCCAGCTGCTGGAGAGTTTTGGATCTCCTTTGACGGTCTTATCATTTAATTATGCGCCAAATGTTCCCAATTGGTGAAAGATCAGGACTGCAAGCAGGCCAGTTCAGCACACGGACTCTTCTACTACAAAGTCATGCTGTTGTAATAGCTGCAGTATGTGGTTTTGCATTGTCCTGCTGAAATACACAAGGCCTTCCCTGGAATAGATGTCATCTGGAGGGGAGCATATGTTGCTCTAAAACCTTTACATACCGTTCAGCATTCATGGTGCTTTTTAAAACATGCAAGTGTCCCACACCATATGCACTAATGCATCCCCATACCATCAGAGATGCTGGCTTTTGAACTGAACGCTGATAACAGGAGGGTCTTTCTCCTCTTTAGCCTGGAGGACACGACGCCCATGATTTCCAACAAGAATGTCAAATTTGGATTCGTCTGACCACAGGACACTTTGCCACTTTGCTAAAGTCCATTTTAAATGAGCCTTGGCCCACAGAACACGGCGGTGCTTCTGGATCATGCTCAACAATGGCTTCCTTTTTGCATGATAGAGTTTCAAGTGGCATCTGTGGATGGCACGGCGGAGTGTGTTTACAGACAGTGGTTTCTTGAAGTATTCCTGAGCCCATTTAGTAATGTGAATGACAGAATCATGCCGGTGAGTGATGCAGTGGCGTCTGAGGGCCCGAAGATCACGGGCATCCAGTAAAGGTCTTCGGCCTTTTCCCTTAGCACAGAGATTTTTCCAGTTTCTCTGAATCTTTTGATGATGTTATTGTGATGGTTGGCTTTTGAG